AAAGAAGGTTTTTTACTTCCTCTTCTGCTGAAGCCATGGATCAATAAAAAAAAATATCATTTTTGAAATTTCAAGAAAAAGATAAGATAAAGAAGTGGAAAGAACAAAATGGTCATTTTTTTGATTGGCTGGAGCATCGACATCTGTGACTGTAGAGGCCGTGGCGGGAGTGACAATCTCTGTTGCAGGGGTCGTATGTGTTTTCTGTCTCTGGTCTGTTGGAGCTGTCACTTTGCTTTCTGCGGGCCCGGCTTTCCGTGGTGACTTGTCTCAGTTTCTCCTCCCCTGACTTGAGGTGTTTGGTCAGGATTCCTCTTCATTCGGATCGTATGGCTGCCAGGTTCTCCCAGGACTCTGTGTTGATATTCACAGCTTTCATGTTCAAAATTATAAGTATTTAAATATGTGCACGGACTTCATCAACTCCCCGTAAAAATCTGTTTTTCTTTTTTGTTTAAGTATTATTCATAAAATTAACAAGAAATCGATATTTCAGAAATAAACTTATAAAGAAATACACATGAAGACGTTTAGAAAGAATTTTCATAGCGCCTAGAATGTATATCAAAAGAATAAACCCATAGGCAGACGTAGTCGGATTTCCATTCCTATAAAAATCTCTGTTAGTTTTATAGCAATTTATAATCATGAAATATCGACTCCAACAGTAATTAGAGTTAGTTTATTGAAGGTTTATTGCTATTCGAAAAAGACAGTCAAAAGGATTTTAGTGGCATTTGGGAGACATTAACATTTGCTTCTTTTGATAAAACTATAAATTAACATTGATTTGTTTTTTACGACTTACAAACCTTTTGTGCATTAGAAGAATTCTTTATTTGCTTGTGAATATTGCATTAACAATTCTTTAAGAATGATTTCCCAGATACAAATCCTATTTAACCCATAGCTAGAGGGAGGTTGATTCCTACCTTTCCGAAGTGTGTTTGCGCATTAAGTCAATATAACGGACCCGGTCGGAATTCGAACTCGGTTTCCTGAGTTCTCATTTCATTTCACCACCCACACATCCACTACAAGTTATGAACCTAAATCCAAAGAATCCGTCTTTAGAAACATTGGCAGCTGTTTATATAGAAATAAGAGACAGTTTCTATAATCAATGTTGATGTACGGTTAGCGTAGAGGTTATCGGTGCCGAAAGTGGGAGTGGCATGCCGAGTTCAAATTTAAGGGTTAAGTTTACTTTTCCAACCCTTCTCCCCTACTGGAGCTAGTTGTTAATAACAGGTTAGACTGTGTTGGCAACCAGTCTAGGAGAAAAACCGTAAACGGAGATCAAAATAGTAGCACTGAGCGTTGTGAATCTGTGGCTCTACTCTTCACAGGGAAGTTCACATGAACCTTCGTTGATATAGTTTAGTCTTTAAGATTGGTTTATCAATGTAAGGAAAATTATAAGTTATAGGGCTCAGTTTATTTCGAACATGCGATATGTTTATTAAACGAAGGTTCACTCGCTTTTATTTTTATATTCATATATAACTAATGGTTATATAATCTAAATTAAATCTGTCTGTAATTGTGCAACTCGTTTTCATAGACTCTTCGACAGTCTTCAAGATTTGGGGGTTTCGAATTTGGGAAACGCTTACATTAAATTTAAATTTAAGAACTTACATTTGTTCGCGTGTGAAATAACTTTCGATGCTTTCGGGTGGATAACCTGCATTGCTTCAGGCGTGGCATTTAAAATTGACTCTACACTCTGACACAACACGTAGTGATTTATGAGTAATGTGCAGGTAGAATTTGGATGCAAGACAACCTTTCACATTTTCCCCACGGTCAATAGCAGGTCATTTTATCAGTAGACATGACGCCAAAGCTCGGGTAACAGGTTGTCTGCATATGACGTTGTTACCGCAAGCAGTGGTGTGTCGGGTAGTGTTACTATGTCACCCGACGAGACACCCAACATGAGAGAACTGTGATTGAATATGCAGTGGCGAAAGTGCAAATACAACGCTATGGTTTTTATAGTCTGAAACATCGAAATGGTATCTCAGTGATAGTCGATGACAGCTGTAGACACGAAAGCTGCAGTCGAACAAAGACATCTTGGAAACTTTAGCTGAGTGTTCCCGTTTATATAAACCAATCACGTTCTGTGGTTTTAGAAATCAATAATATTTATTAGTCAGAATAATAGAAACAAGTTATGCTTTTTTACAAACCAAATTTATTAGATTATTGCCAAGATTAGTTATTGATATTTACGAAGCCTTGGGTGAAAACAAATCAGGAAAGCCTATTTCTTTATGAACTCAGCATTCGAGTTTTTATTGATACCCGAATACAGAATAAATATGCAACAATTAAAGCTGCAAAGCAGGTTGCATAATAATTACTTATTCTTTTTTCTTTTATTCAGAAAACTGAAACTCAGTTTTCAGAGACTTTCCCCTGCTACAGGTATGATGCAACCTATTACAATCTGCCACATTGCGATGTGAACGTAGTATTGTTGGTCGTATGACTTTTTTGGTGGATAGACCAGTCAACTCAGAAGAAAATATTTACAATGGCCATGTGCTCATGAACACAGCCAGCCATTTAGAAATAGGAATTCGGTTGTGGTTATACCTGGAGGGAGGCTGAGTCCACCAAATTATTCTTGCTACACAGCGCCCTACGATCAGGTTAGTGGAAATGACTTTTGAAACATAGAATATGATAAGGTAGAAGTGTAAAATACAGAGTGTAAAATAAAGCGATAAAAGGAAAAGGAAATAATCCTTATGTGCCAAGAAGCATATTTACCCGGCCTTTCCACCAAGGCTGGATGTGACACTTGTTTTAAGGTAGTGGTGGGGGTAGTTATACGCATATTTATGCAAATGGGTCAAGGACAAGAAATGATTTTTTGCTCAGCCCCCGCGACCACTGTCGCGCTGGCATCGATATTAAACCGACCCAACCTCTTTAGTGCAGTGAGGAAGGTTCTGCCACAGTGTTAGAATCCTCGGAACTGAGCAACTTCACCCATCTAAAATGAGAAGAATCATAGCTCCACTTACAGCACAGTGTTAACCCCACCTTAGTAAACCATTATTGGCTAATGGTTAACACCTGTCCCAGACAAGAAGTGTTTTATTGAAATGTCAGTTAAGCCTATTTAAAAATGTAACCGTTATTCCTCAAAACAGAATATGTAGTGTAAAAAGTCACCATTAACTGAGGCATTTCTTCGTAAAAGCAGACGATGCGAAATAATAGGAATATTTTTTTTTGCAAAATACAATCTTTCACAACCGATGTTAGTGATTTCAATCAAATTTAGTAGGGTATATGATAGAATGGAATATGCGTACACTTGTGTTCTCCCTCACTGGAATATGATTGGCTGGTGTCCGTCATAAATACCGGCGGACGTGTAGGTGAGTCAAGAGCCTTAGTCTGAGAGCTAAGTCTATAACGACGCCCACTGAACTACGCCATTGATCTACACTTCTCACCTGCGACTACGACGCGTACCAGTCGATTACTGCTACCGTATTCTACTTGGTTATAGTAGCTAAAACCACTTAGCTACTTCGTTTAAATATATCCCTTTCCGGGACATATCAGTATATATAATGATCTAACATCTGTATGTTTCAGTCTCTGTTACCATAGAAGAGAAAAAACAGAACTTTGTAGCGATATTTTTTAGCGCAATACCGAAGAATAAAGCAATTTTCACTTCAATATGCAACTAAATAATTCACACTCACCAATCATGTATATTTTAATGATCCGATTTCACAAGAACGATAACTTCAGATATTTTCAGTGCTATTTATAGAATAGTTTCCCTTATTTAGTTGAAAATAATTCTAATTTCTCTGAATAGAAAGTGAATTACAGGCACGTCACCATTATTTCTAGTGGAAGAGGCTGGTTTTTGTGCCAGGAGAGTCGCTAGTAAGAATTTGCACACAAGTTAGTTCATAACATTTTAACAGCGGGCTGCTGGCGATTTTCTGGGGAGGGGGCGTCTTCCTTACCCCACCTTCAGACATCAAGCTTAAGAGCCTTTGCCAGCCTTGAAGTACAGGTATATAGCACATTTAGGAATCCCATGTAACTGTTGAAAATAACTAAAAATCATTTTTAAGACTCAAATTGTAAAATCCAAATCTTGAGATGAAAATTGTGTTGTTGCGTTAAAAGGGGGGAAAGTCTCACTTCAATTCAAACAATCAAATGTGGTTTTCATTTCCATCAGTTCGGGATTCCTATGTGCAAACTGCAATTTTGTTTTACTTGTAAGAGGCACTGAAAAGTTTTCAGTCGAACAAGCAAGGATTCCTCACAAAATCTTAATTTTGACATTTGATTAGATTTTTGGAAATGGACTAGGCCGAGAACTTTTTAGCACTCTTGCTTATTAATGAACCTGGTTTAATTATTAATAATAATAATCTATTTTGTAATATAAAATGCAATGTAATTTTGCATATGGATAGGTTACGTATCCTTATTTTCCCTATTAAGATAATGAGCTATTCAATTGTTATGGTAGCAGGTGGCATAACTCTTTTTATTCTTTTGTTTATTATTAGCTTTTCTTTAATGATTTTAAAAGCAAAATTATTTCTTATATCCGGTACTAAAGTTGAATATAGAGATAAAAATCCTAGATTCCTTGTGCAGAAAATATAATCAAGGCAATTGCGAAATTATTTAAATATTTCCTTTCTATTTTTTGATTGATTTATTGATTCATTTTTTTTTTCGGTTTATCAACCCTTTGCAGGTTATTTAAAGCCAGAAAATATTTTTAGATTAAAAAAATTGTTTTAGATAATAATGTTTTAGTGATACAAGTCTTACTAATTAGCCCATAGCTGTGGGGAGAAGAGGCGAATTCGTACCTTCCCCAAGAGTATTTGCACGTAAGTGAATATAACGAACACAACTGGAATTCGAACTCGCTTCACCGATTTACAATTCCGAGGCTTTCTCCATTACACCACCCACCCGCACACACAAGTTTACAACATCTGGTATTCCTAAGTGGTCACCCATTTAGGTACTGACCAGGTTCAATGCTGCTTAACTTCGGTGATCGTACGGGAACCAATGTTTCAACGTGATGTGACCGTAAGAAGCATTTTGTGATTGTATGACTATATTAGTATATAACAATCAACAGTGCAACTTTTTCTGTATGTGTTTTTGTTTCTCTGTTCATAACTTCCTTCTCTCATGTAAATCAATCAAATATACAGAAATAACAAATGAATCCTACGCTGATTGGAACGTTCAACCCGACGGTACGTAAGTAACGATTCCATTGCACCAAAGCTTTATTAGTTGGATTCTGCAGAAGGGCACTTAGTTTGATTCTTGCTAGAAGTATAGAGGTAGACATAAATAAACCCATCATTTTTTATCGTTAACTTATAATTACTAAATCAGATTCAAGACCAGTATGAATATTTTAGTTAAATTTTTAGTCACACATAAAATACTTATATATTAAGACGTATTTCATTTGGAGAATACATCACAAGCATCTCGGAGAAAGTAATAAAAGAAGAAAAAACTCTGAAATTAACGGAAAGGTAAATCGAATGAAACGAAATTCAATAGACCATGTTTACTACCACTGATATGAAGTATATCAAAGTGTGTAGGATGTTGCTGTAAACGTGTATGTGGTAAATGTAGAGAGAAAGTAAGTTGCTGAAATACAGAAATTACCTTACTGTCGGCTCTGTCCTATCGTCGTGTGGAAAGGAGAGAGAGAGAGAGAGAGAGAGAGAGAGAGAGAGAGAGAGAGAGAGTTTTGTAATTAGGAGTGGATTTTATACTAACGTGTCACGTGACTACTGTAGTGTCACATGACTACATATCTAAAATGAATAGTACTCCACTTTGAGATATTTATGTGTGCATGAGAATGTTACTCTCCTTTCCTCTAAGAAAGTTCGTTATAACCTCTAAGAAGTTAGGTAAGTCTTTTTGGCAAGTGTATCCGCCAGCCTTAACGTATGACTGTTTTTCATAGTGACTCTGGAGTTTCCTCCCTTTCTGTCTAATTTGTGAATGTCTTCTTACTTGTTGAACCCTAGAATGCTGGTATTTATTCTGTCAAGTGCGATGCTTTGCTCTCATTCGTCGATCTCCATAGTGATATATTTGTTGGGTCTACATAACACCCTAAACGAGTTTTTATATACCAATTGAAGAAGATGACTGGTTACAACGCCCCTTCATGAAGACATGTGTGAAGTTGTGTAAAGAATATAGAAAGTGTTTCGGTTTGTTAGCTTTCTTTGTAGGTATATGTGACAATAATCCGAATAATGTAAATAGTGTATATGTGACACGTTGAAATTTTGTATTCAACCTGTCAAGAAAAGACTCATTTGTTTACTGTCATTTGTCCTGGAAGTCGAAGAGTTGCGTCATAAACTAGCCCTGGTGATGAACAATTAAAATCTTGTCGTGCAGAATGTAAGCGAAAGAGGATTAATGGAAAACGCACACAGCCAAGTTGGACCTTTAAAACAGATTTTAGCGGTCGATGGAAGCGCTCGACCATTTCGTTGGCTTCATGATGATAAACAGGTTTGGGGTTAACCGTAGGAAGAGGTTAGATTCGAACTGGCTTGCCTTATCATTTGTTATTACAGAAACTAAAACAAATCTTACTCTTCAGCCTGACAGGAATATTTTGGCCACAATCTCGGAAGTAATATCTGTAATCAACAATGCTTCTAGACACACTGTTTACAATACGTTCAGTTAGACATTCTGTTGTGTATGATACACCTAATTTACATAAGCGGACTACCGACCATATAAATATGGGTTGGTACCGGAAGACGGGGAAGATAGTAGAGATTAAGAAATTGAATCCAGAGACTCTGCCCGACTGCGATTTAGTCAACCCATTATGCAGGAACAGTCTTCCCAAGAATATACCAAACTAACTGTAAATATTGTGTACCTATTCTTTGTTTCAATACATTTTGTTAACGTACATTTTGTGTTGTATTATTCCATGCTTATTTAAGCTTCAACACATTCCAACCACCTGAAGAAGGCCGGAGCGTGCAACGGCCGAAAAGTTGTAATGAATATAGCGACAAAGATGAGGACAATAGTCCGAATAATGCAAATAGTGTACATAATACCACATCTCAGAAATATAGACAGATACTGAAGGGCCGAAACGTTGTGATAAATATGGCAACAAAGATGAGGACAATAGTCCAAATAATGTAAATAGTATACATAATACCTCATCTCAGAAATATAGACAGATACTGAAGGGCCGAAACGTTGTGATAAATATGGCAACAAAGATGAGGACAATAGTCCGAATAATGTAAATAGTATACATAATACCTCATCTCAGAAATATAGACAGATACTGAAGGCTTCTAGATAGTGAATGAATTGATCAACACATATGAGAAGCCAATTCACGATGGCAGGGGATCTGTTATGCCAGTGTAGATATGTGAAAAATCACTAGTCTTGAATAGGAAACTTGCCAAATTGTGTTCGTCTCTTCCTGCTGACTTTTGGCACGTCATTATGTGCATATCAAAACATAATCAGGAATAGCAATTTTAAAGAATTCATATCTAATGCTTATTTTGTTCAGAAGACAGTATCTTTCTGTCGATTGGAAAGCCTTATGCATATGCATCTAATATCACAGGAAAGTGTATCTGCCAGGATATTGTGCTCAGTTTTTACGTAGCGAATATCAGATGTGAATTGCAATCGGGAATTGAGATACTGCATTTCACGTGGCGAATGTCAATATGTTTTAGTCTGGAATATACCGAGTAGAGGATTGTGTTAAATAAGACATGGAAATGTCGAATTTCCACTAGGTTACTAAAATGCCAAACAGTTGTATATGCTTCATAAAGCTTCGAAGTTGCTGTACCAAGATTCTGTTTCTGTTTGCTTTTTTTGAGAAACAAATAACTATAGGTTTTCAGAAATTGTGCTGTTCTGCTGTAGAACACTATTAAACGTGTTACTGGATGAATAAACGATTAAGCCTAATCCAGCGTAAGGATTGGTCAGTTATGTCTGTGCTTTGTCAAATGCTTTTAACATTTCGTCTGGCTCATTTCAGGAAGAGGGTGTTATGGTCCAGAGTGATGATGATATTTCATCATTCTAAAAATAACCTTGCTATCAGTGATGATAAAAAAATAAGGATATTTCATCATTTTAAAAATAACCTTGTCATCAGTGATGATAGTAAAGAAGGATATTACATTATCCCAACCCTTATCATTATAAAAACGAAGAGAGTCAGTAGAGTAATGTAGACTAGGGTACCCTATAGCTATAGTCAGTAGACGAGTAGACAACTAGTAGTAATCAATAAACATATATCTCTGCCAACGCCCTGAAGGACTGTAAACAGACGATTTCAAACGCATCCTCACAAACGAAATTCTCGGTACCAAACCAAGTAAGCACCGACTTTTAAACAAAAGATACACCGAGAACAGTGTATACCATACCAATATTCTGTAATTTACATCACAAAAAAAAAGTACAACTTGTTGCTATTTATGTTAACGTGTGTCTCAAGTTTTTATTGTTGTTATCGTTGTATGTTTTATGCATTTTAATTTCTTTCATTAATATCAATCCCATTAGAGTCGACAAATAATAAAAATTGGGGAAATAATATTACGTCAGGATTGCTACTCCATCAGCATCAACTTACCATCCCCGTTATGAACTGCCATCGTCTTATCTGACAACGGAGCAATATCCAGTAGAGTTAACCCAGTTCCCTAAAAATCGACTTTCGACTGAATTCATATTTTATTGGGTCAATAAATTTCTTATATATATTCTTTATTTTTTTAAATCATTTCACCCCAAGCAAGGCGGGGATGCCGTTAGTATGTATGTGCTTACAAAGTGTGAAACTGTGAGAAAAGACTGCGTATAGGGAGGATAGAGGAAAGGACAAAAGATGAACGGGATTCAAGAAGATGACGATTGACGTTGCATTTAAATTTTTGAAGATCGTATTTATCAGGGAAGCAAGTAAACGGAAATGAGTTATACAGGCGGGAGGTGCGAGAAAAGAAATTGTTTGAGTAGAAGCGACGGTTGCAGTTAGATATTTCAACATTAAACGGGTGGGATTTAGATGCCAGACTAGTAGCACGCTTAAATTCACGTAGTCGGGGCATCAAAAAGCTCGACAGAGCAGTTGCCCTTAAAATATTTGTAGAAATAATAGAAAGAAATTTCTCCATGGAGAGACTAGCTGTTAATATATCATCAATGTATGAAAAACAAATTCCAGTCTGCATAGGACATGAGCCATGAAATGTTGTAACGGGTTCTCAATCTAAAAGCAACAGAAATAAATTCAAATAACCCATAAGGAGTTGTAAGAACAATATCACAAATATCACTGACCTCCCCTGAGATCTGAGATTACGATTGGATTACGTCTAATTTAATAAACAGTGTTTTCCTTTAAAGTTGTGAGGCCACGTCATAAATATGGTCGGGGAATGGAGTATCTATTTGACTGTTATTCAAAGACCGGCAATCTCCATATGCTCGTCACGCGCCTCTTTTTTGTGGACCATTTGCAGAGGAAAAACCCAGTTACTCTTGGGTGGCCTAATAATTCCTAACTCCAGCCTTTCGTTAAATTCGTTATTTTAAAATTTTCAGGCGTTAAACGTCTGAGGCAGACATAAACAGGTTGTCCAATGGTACTATATACAGGGTTCGATGGGTAAATTGTCGCCATTTTGCATTTTTTATTTCGCGCATGCGCGTTGTTTTTTTTTTTGTTTTTTTTTTATTTTGCCGACTGCCCAGTATAGCAGGGTCAGTTGGGCATTGTCTGTAAGAAAAAGAGCACCATGACGCAATTCACTTCACCAGAAATGTGGAAACGGCATGCTGTACTGCTTGGCGCCGGAAGCTCCAATACGAACATTTCAGAGTGTTTGGGTTTTAATCTGAGGACAATGCAGAGAATTCGGAAAAAATTCGGATGAGTCTAATGGTGATTACGAAGATACAACAGCTCGGAAAACTCACTCTGATCTTTTCTGATAAGAAAAGAGCTCCCGAATTTGTTGGTGA